GTTTTTCTTCTTATAACAAAACTCACTTTAGTCCCAGCAACCTGTAGATTTGTTCTAGTTAACAGGTTTTATGGTTTTTCTTTGGTACTACATAGTTGTGCATGGTAAAACAGATGAAGAAAAATTTAAAGTCAAGATCCTTTTAGGATTCAGGATTGTTTTTTCATAGTGCCAGTGCAGTTAGAAACAATGGAGCTGAGGGAGTCCCTCTTATTCCCTCCATTTACATCTGCTTTCAATGTCCTAAGAGAGATAGAAAATAAAATAACAAAAACCTAGGAGGTTTCAGATGCTCTAGATGAGAGCACATTCGTGTTGGATTTTCTAACCTGACCTTCCAGTCACCTTTACCCTACTCCCATCTCATTATACTGTAGACAGCTAAATTAATTGGATATCTTATAGACAGACAGGGTGGGCTCTTCTAGAAATCAAGAAACACAAGTGAGACACATTCACTAAAGGTCAGCATTAAAAAAGTACTACACTTATGTACTTCCCAACAGTGATTGATATTCTGAATAGGTATCAGTCACCTTGGGCAGGGACCAAAACCTTCCTAGCCCATTCTTTCTGGGGAAATCCTTGTCTGTCCCATGTATGCTTGCTTGCTGGCTGTGTGACTAGCTTCCCCATTTGATCCCCATTTAATATTACCTAAGTGACTATACTTGAATCTTATTGGTCGATCATAGTTTTGTCCCACCTTGTGATTTCCCAGTGGATCAATATTACCTAAGCGATGATCTGTCTAAACTTATTAGTTGACTGCTTATTAGTTTCATCCTATCTTGTACCCACTTCACCTCTTGGCTTTGCTCAATAAAACACCTTTAAAAATTGAGGTGGGTGGGGAACCCTCTTTCCGGCCCCCTTCTGTCTCTCTTAGACAGAAGCTAGCTTTCTCTCAATAAATTCTTCCTTTTAACCTCCATTGTTCTTAAGAATTCATTCTTCAATTTTAGAGAACACGAACTCGTGTTTTGGATATCTAGCAGGTTGAGAGTTGTAGTATTTCCCTTGTTTGGATTATTTTACATTATTTGGATTACTTGGTGTCCCATATCAGTTACAGGTTCATAAACAATGTACTTCATGTCATAAATATAATTGAGATCAGAGTGAATTGTGGGGCAACCAGGCATGTTGAGAGCCCCTAAGATGACTCAGCACCCTGTCAATCATTCATGTCAATCATACCCAGAGAGGGAATGATTGGAGCCACCTAAGCAAAGGTGACTGACCTTTAAATTCTGACAGGCGATTTACCTGGACTCTGTTGCTTTTGCTACTTTTGTGTGCTTTGGCCTGTGTGCAGTGCTTTTCTGTTACCCTGGCACTTTTCCCTGTCTGTAGTATATTTTTGTTGGGATGGACTTGTCCTGAGCACAACTGTAATCGTCAAGAAATGTAGCTGCTTGCTGCTTACTACTGGGAGCTCACTTGGCAATTCTCTCCTTGTTCTAGACAACAGCCTGGACTATTATTGGCCCATTCCATGGCAAAAGAGCTACGACTATTGTAAAATCAATGTTGAAGAGAGATAATTTCAGAGAAAGAATTGGACACTATTACGTTTTTTTTTTTTTTGGTACCAGGGATTGAACTCGGGTCCTTGAGCTTGCGCAGCAGGTGGCGAAAACACTGAGCTAAATCCCTGGCCCTGGACACCATTACTTTTAATCTCATTTTATTTTAAAGGATTTTTTTTCTTCTTTCCCCCATCTTCCTTTTTTTCCTCTGTTTTTTCCCCCCACTTTCATTTCTGAGTCATAACAAATCTTTATTATTTTCTGCTTTGGAAACTTGGTCTTGTCATTCACTGCAAAATACCTCTGATTCAGGAAACTAAAAATAAATAAATCTTAGTCTTCTTTGTTTCTTTCTTTTCTCCAAGGCTTTTATTCTACGATGGCACTTAGAAACAGTTATTAATAACTGACTACACAGTCAAAAGAATTCAATAATATATGTGGTAAAATATGTAATTAATATAGAATTATAATTCAAATCCTCTCTGAATTGAAAATACAAGGTACACATAAAGTATGTAAGTTTGAGTTCAATAGGGAGAGATTGCTTTATGCGTATCTGTGGGGAAAACAATCCTCCAAAAGAAAATGTAAAAATCAGGAGAAATGTGTTTGGAATACTTTTTCTTGTTTCATGATAATGCAACATTTTCTAGAATAAGTAAATCAGTGCATGGTAGTACTTTAAATATCAGCTGATTTTCTTTTTTTTTTTTAAAAGACTGGATTTAAACTTTTGATACAAAGCAGATTTTTAATTTCCCGTTCTTCAAAGATAATACTGAAAGGTCACTTTAGCTTTTAAAGTTTTCAGACATGAGTCACTGTACTCCCACTGTCTTACAGGCTTCAAAATCAAATATCCCATCAGTATCGTTCATTTTGATTTGGCAAATGTATCATTTTTATGTAGTTATGGAACTTATGAAAAGCTTTTCATTCCTGGTTGCCATGTTTTAGGCAGATTCTCAGAATGCTGCATTTAATAGTTAAAAAAAACAGTGCATACTTTAATGAAATACACCATTTTGAATCTCTGAGCAAGATTCATAAAAGATATGGAAAGTTTCTCATCTTATAATTTCAGCTTTAGCTATCAAAGCTTACCTATTTTTACCATTTCCTAATTACTAATGCTTACATTCAGGAAGATGAGGACTCTGAAGTTGACAACCTTGTACCTCAGAAACACAGAGGACAACCAAATGATTCTGTATGCCAAAGCGGGGGTCATCCGTGAAGGAGGGTTGTGCAAAAAGTACTTCTTTTTCTCTCTAATGACAAAAGCTGTGAAAACTTCTGTGCCCAAAGGGACAGGTCAGGCCATTTGACTGAGAACCCAGTGTGGCTGGAGGCTGAGGAAGTGCTCAATGCCTTGGGGGAGCCGCCAGTGCACCACCCTCTGGACTGAAGTCCAGACCTGGTCTGGCTGGGTTTCAGCTATGGTTCAAAGGACCCTGTACAAAATCTACATAGTGCAGATCTTGTGAGGCACAACAAAAAGCAAAATGAGTTTAGACTCATCACAGACTAGAAATCTCAAATCGGCTTCAAAACTTTCATTCCAGAAATATTTATTGAATACTTACTGTGTTTCAAAGCTATCTAACTTCAAGTTCCCTCAAACTTAGCGTTTAACTTAATTCATTTCCCCATACAGAAAATAAATATAATCTTTTATGGCAAGTCAAAGGGATCAAAGCTCAGTCAAACATTGTTCCTTTCTCCTCTGGCAAAGCTACTTAGACTTAGAAAGACTCATTTATTCTATTCCTTAAAATCTTCAAATCTTGCTACTACATTTTTTTTTTGTGCTGTAATCACTTTCCATCTTTTTATTTCTTTTCTTTCTTCTTTTTGAGACACAGTCTCCCTAGAAGTTGAAGTTGGTCTTGAACTCACTATGTTGCCCAAGCTACCATGCTCTCACAGCATTCTTCCTGCCTCAGCTTCCCAAGAGCTGGGGTTATAGTTGTGCTCCACAACATCCTGCATCTTTACTTTCTTTTTTTTTTTTTTTTTACTACTACATGTTTGCAGTACATAATGATCACTTTCATCATGGAGAATTCAGTTCTGTTTACAACTTCTGTTTCTACAAAAGCCTTCCTGATTAATACCAACTATCATATCATCCAACCCCCCTCCTTTTTTTTTTTTGGTAGAGGG